TGGCCCGAAAATCGATCACAGCATCATCCCATCCCCCATGTCTCGGCGAAGCTCAAGTCATGTCATATTCGCGGATTTTCCTTTTTCCCTTCTTCCTTCGTCGTCATCTTCCTTAAATCACCCACCCATCGGATCAAAAAAAAAAAAAAGAAAAAAAAAATGAATAAACAAATAAGTATCATAATATTGCATTGTACAATTTCTGGATTTTTACGTTTCCTATATCCATAGCTTTCTACCATGTTATCCCTGTTTTTTCTAATTCCCATCTTTTCACAAGTTAAAAGGATTCTTATACTTTTAAGAATAAATCGCAACACTGTCAACTTCTATTCTTAGTTAGTAAGTAGACTTAAATAACAACTGTATTTATTTAATAATCAAAAAATTAAAAAATATAAATAATTTTTTTAACCATAAAAATGCCATTTTTATTAATAAATTAAAATGATTATTGAAATTCAACGTCAATAGTAAACTTAAAGTGTTGACAAATAGTAAATTTTACTTTTTTAATAAATAATTTAATTTGACAATTCCTGAGAATGATGGGACCAAAAAGTATTTATTGATGACATAAGTTAATTTTGGCATCATAAATTGTCTAAAGTTTTATTTATTCTTAAGTTATACGTATGTATATAATAATTTTGTTCACAAAAAATCATCGCAGAAAAATTCGAGCTTGAACCCAAAAAATACACCTTTCGACCTATTATTGTAATGTACTGATCTCTTTTATCAACTGTATTTGGTCAAAAATTTTATAAGTGGTTTTTCGGTATCCTATCAGTTAACTTTGTAGAACCCACAGAAAAAAAAAAAATTTCTTTTTAAACGACCGCTGAAATTTTCCGATTATAAAGCTCGCACGCTTTAAGTCATCAAAGCTTTCAAAGATAAATTCAGTTTTAAAAAGCTGAAAAACTTTTATGAGCTGAAATGTAGATTTTTTTATTCCAGCCCAGCAAAATTTCACTGTTATTGCATACGTCAAACAACTCGTGCTAAAATTTTACGTACTACTATACACTCCATATCCTCAATTAAATAATTATTCAGATAGTAATAGTTGAAGTTAACAAAGTTTACTTTTATCCCACACGTGTTGTTTGAGCAATAAGGCAAAACTGTAAAGCAAATGCACACACAATTGTCCTTCTGGAGTCTATAATTTTACACTTCTTCGTTTGCCAAAACCTTGTAAATTATCAGTAAACATGTACGCCATCACACTTGAACAAGCACTAAATATACTTACGTAAAAATGCCTAACAATGAGAAATTTAGTTATAAGATGCACTGATGAGAATTTAAAAGCCTAACGGCAGACCAGCTGCTTTTGATGCGATACGCAAGTTTACACTGATTCCGGACTTATGCAGCAAAGAATCTGGTTGCGAGTCGATGCTTTGATATCTCGCTGTCACTTTGCGAAAAAGATCCAAGGCCTCGACCCTTCGAGCACGTGCCAATCTTATCAGGCTCGCTTGTATTTTTTTCGTCTACCGTCATTATTCTTGTCTTTTTTTTATTCATTTCTTCGCACCACAATAGGTATTAGTTCATTTTACGTTGTCGGAAGAGCTAATATTCGCTGTGTCTTTAGTTTCAAGGCCAGCAACGTATGCGATGTTATCGGTACTTATACGTGTAGTATATGACTATGTCAGTGGAAAATTTAGCTTTTTAATGAAAACCGGAAATTTTTCTTTTAATTATTTCTATCACCTCTTAGAAATCAGAGAACTTTGATTTTGTTGTAAGATTCGGTAAAATTTATATTTGATCTAAATATTTAGACTGATTTTAATTTACTTTTGACATGATTACTTAATTCGCTAATTCAATTTTTAATTTATTATTTGAAAATAGATATGATTATTACTAACAATATTTTCCGAATGTAAAGTACATTAAGACCTTTAAAGTATTTCAATAGGTACCGAGAGCAAAAATAGTATAAAATTAAGCATATAGTGTAGTAATAATGATACAGGTGACAGATTATTTTTTCATTCATAATAATTATTTATAAAATCTACGTTGACTCTTTTTTATTGAATACTTCAACTCACGATTCTTTTGATTCAATGAATGAAACTGATATAATAAATTCCTTGGTTTTATAACAAAATTATATATTTTTTATTATTTATATCTCATTAGCAGTCACTAATTTTTTAGTAGTATATTAACTTTTAAAAATAGTACACTATTTTCGTTATTAGTTATTTCATATCTGCTTTCTCGGAAAATTGAAGCTTTGGAGTAGACGAAAACTGCGAATAAATAAAAAGTTGATATGATTTTTTTTGCTCTACAATAAAAATATACTATTAAGTATATGTATGATAAATAAAGTCTCGTAAAAATGATCAATTTTCATCTCAGTTTTTTATTTTTCAATTTTTCTAATAAAGTACTTAAAACAACTTTTGCATAATCAAAAATCGCTACCAATTTATTGGTAGGAAGCTTCCTCATCCTTAAATTTTTTTAACTCAATGGAAACATTTTTAGTTAGAAATTTTATGATCTCTTAAAACTTATTTATAAAAAGTTAAGATTTCGTACGTTAAAATAAAAAAACTAATTTTCAAAACTGATATGATCGAAAATAAAAGCGCTGCTAATTTATTGGCTCAAGATATTGACGCTACTGATAAAATTAAATGAAAAATAAACTGATAAAGTAAAATTTTTTCCATCGGTGATAGGTATCTCAAAACAAAAGAAAAGGCAAGATTTTGCAGATTACGCAGTTACACGTACACACGCACACAGACTGACATCTTAGCCACAGTACGTACTCCATTTCAATTTTAAACTGCATGAAACACATTTTTATTATGTAATCTCAATGTGTAATTTTTCATTCATCATAATAGCTTACTCTATAAAAAAGCAAAATTTGATTAAGATATTGCCTGTAATTTTTAAGATATAGATTTTTTTTCTAAGTATCGTTCGTAGTATATGACCTCTGAAAAATAGCTAAAAATAGATGTTTGTAATACTTTACCAACAAAAACAATTGATAACAATTCGTTTTACAGAAAATGAAAAATCTTTCTTTAAACTGAGGGTACAATAATTTTTCATTATTTTCTAATAAATTACAATTATTTAACACTTACGTTGTCGTATAATTTCTAATTACTTTATCAGTGTTTATGATAAAAAAAAATAACTCCAGAATTCTAAACATTAAGTATCGATTAAAAAGTAATAATTATAGCGTGCACGCAGTATGATAACATTATTGTGTCACGTAAACATATGAATATATCTTACAAACATTAAAAAACATGCTATTATTTTTAAAACTGCTTGAATGTGGTGATATCTAATCACCTAATGTTTTTTTTTCAGAATGGTGTATTGTAAGGTTATTATTGGTTCTGATATAGGCATAAAAATACCATTACGATTGTATTTTATTCTTATATGAATTTTAATCTGCATTAATTTCTTTAATAACAGCCCCTAATTATGAACACCAGAAATTCGGGTCCTAAAATTTTCCATTGAGTGTAGATAATTAAACATTTTCTGTAATATTGACGAATTATAAACAATTAGGATTTTTTTTTTCTTAGACATTTAAAACTTTGAAAAATTGTATCGACTCACTTGGAAAATAATGGATTCACCAAGCTGAACAAGGTGCAACTATCATTCAAATGGGGTGACAGTTCAAGTTTCTATCCAATAAGCCCTAATTTGTTCTGAGTGATATAATTATTTCTAAGCTTTGTGATTGATTCTTGTGTACGTAATATCTCACAGAAAATTTTTTCCTGCATAATAAGTTCATTGTACAAATATAAATATAATAGCAACAAAAAATAATGGTATGTTTAATTTACAACTAATCAATTGTTAAATCTAAAAAAGTAAAGGTTGTAAAATGATTGGGGTAATAATTATTATTTTTACCGTATCAGATATAGCACAAATATTTTTCATGGTGCAAAATCACTTAAGGAATATATTCACAAAACATGCAATCACCGCATCTACAGTGTTAAGAAATTTTTCCAAGGTCGTTAGTCTTTGAAAATTAAAGTATAAAAGATAGGCGTACATTTATAACCGACAAGGGTTATAAAAAATAGTTTGTTGAAATTTTTAAGACAAAGTTTTTTTTTCTTTTACTTTTATAATCAATAGTCTGTTATGGGTAATATAAGTCCCTTTTATATTATTCTAAAAGACCTTAACTAGTTCATGCAATTTTTGGGGATTAGAAAACGATGTGTATTTCAAAAAATATAAACGAGCAAAGTATTCTAGTAAAATTTATATAAGTGAATAAAGTATTTAATAATTCTGAAAAATTTCTCTTTTCAAACTACACTTACGAATTTTATTTTTATACAATAAAGAGACGCAAAAATTTTACTAAAGTGGTTTAAAATGTGAGAATAATTATAATAGAAATGACTGCTAACAGAATTTCAAACTGTTGTTTTAGTAATAAGAAAGGCCAAGATCTGTACACAAAATTCAGTTATGGTTGATTAAGTAAAAATATTAAATTTAACTTTGATTAATATTAGTAAAAAAATTTTAATATAAATTTTTAGTGTTTTGTTTAGTATTTTTCGTTAAAATTATCGTCACTTATTTTATAATTAAGAACCAAGGGAATTGACTATCTTAAAATTTATCATAACTCGTTTTGTTTAGCAGCTTCATGTTACTTTGTGTGAAATCAGATAAATATCCTCAAAATTTATGTGGCTTTTGTTTATATAAGATTATATGAATCTTAATGGCATAACAGCAAAATTAATAAATAAATACCTTGAAATTTGTAAGGGTATATATTTTTAAACTATACTTACGTAAGTATTTATTTTAAAGACCTTAATAGTTAAAATACAATTCATAAGTAAGAAAAGTTTCCTCACCTAATTGAAGCAATCAAAGTCAGCATTAGTTGTATGATCATCATGATAATTTTTGTTAACGCAAATAAACATGCACACACACCCACACGAGAAAAGATTACCACTTTATTTTAGAGTAATATAATCTATAGAGACACGATAATGTAGTAACTCAGCTACCAAAGTCCAAGTTAACACTGTACTACAGTCAAGCAGTTACTTAAAAATGTTAAATGCAATGGTGTCTTTTATGCAAGAAGAGAAAACGATAGTGAACGAGTTATGCAAACGTTGCTCTTGAGTCACACCTACAATGAGAAACGATACCTGTTCAGCTGTTCCAATGTATAAAGAAATTAATACCATTTTTC